TTTACCATATGATCTTGAAGGAAAACATAATAATAATGTTCCATTAACACCTGGTACAACTGACGGGCATCAATCAATCTCCACCACCCCTATAATCGACTCATCCAACACGTCCACACCAACTGCTACGCCTATTTCTATGAATGGATCACCTGCTATCTCAGGTAAACTATTTCTTTTTTCTTCCTAGTTATTTAATATAATCATTCAATTAATTATTAATAAATTAATAGAAGCGACAATAAAAAGAGCTAATGTCAGTAATAGCAGTTCTCCTGCTATGAAGAAAAGGAAAACTAATAAAAAACCTAAAAAAACAAATTAAATTGATTTTTAATTTTTTTTTTAATTTTTGTAAATAATAATTTTTAAATTTTTAAGATATATTTGTAGATTTCTATCATCAATAATATATTGTTATTATTATTATTATTATCAAACACATCCAATAATCTATTATATTAATTAAATAGGTTATATTAATAATGATGATAATATAAATAGATAATTTGTAAATTATAATTTTATAAAGAACATTTTTGTTTAAATATAAATATATCACATTAATATTAAAATTAATTACTCATAGTACTATATATGTTAGCTTTGAAAAAGAGTGAGGAAGATCTTTGAATTTATCTTTCACAAATGAATGAATATATTATTATAAAGATATTCTTGACATTTAAGACTTATAGGAGCGGGTGTCAACATTGGAAAGGATAAGGTTTTAATGTCTTTTATAATGTTAGAATTTAGTCAAAATTACTTTTAATTTAAAAACAATTACAGATTCTTCGATATACTCTCTTTCAAAAGAATAGTTTTCTCACTAAAAAGTTTCACATATTTAAAAGTTCTAATAATAACCGACGACCTAAAATATTATTTCAAATTCTTCCCGATCGTTTTCTCTTTTGAATTTTTATATAAATTTATATTCAACAGCTGACTAATATTAAATTTAACAGCTCCAAAGTGGCCTCAACAAACAAATGATTTTATATTGACATTTGTCCTAAAATCCATAAATTGTTTTATCTAAAAAACAAAATGCAACAATTATTAAATGCTATATAAACAGAATTTTAAATACTCCAAAGACAAATAATTAACAGTTTTTTTAAAAATAATTTAATTATTCTATAATATCCATAATAAAAGTATTTAACTTTGACTTTTATCCAGGAAACAAAAATTGTAATATTAAAGTTTACAATCTCCTCCTTCCCTTGGATAGTATGGTTAAAGAGTGATGCTGAAATTATTATTCTTTCGCCTTGGCTTTGACTTAGTTGTTTCTGGTTTATGTGTATGGCTAAATCTTAGTTAATTTGTTTTCTTCTTTCAATTGCTTAATAAGTTTTCATGGTCTTTCTGATCTTGTTTTCTTTCAGCCTTTATCTTTTAATTTATTTATTTCATTCTGGATCGCTTCTTTATTTGCTTTTTCACTTGGTTTCCTTCTCTCAATAAATATAATTTATCCAATTCGATAATTCTTTTTTTTTTTAAGTTTTCAATTTCCCGCTTTAAATTTGTTATCTCCCACTTTTTTAAAAGTAAATATTTCATTCAAAATTTTGATAATTAATCAAATTTTGTAAATTGATTTCCTGATTATAATTTTTGGCTTCCTTTCGTTTGATTAAGGGGTTTTTCTGGATTCTTCTTTCTCGATTGTTTAATTTTTGGTTTTGTTCTTTGGTCCATCTAAATCATTTGGAGCACAACAAAGAAAATAGAATCAATAACTAATTATTAATAATCAAAAAAATTTTAACAACATTAAATCAAGGATTTCGAAGTTTTCGGTATGAAATATTTTATTTTATTCAATTGCTAATATAAAATAATAATAATAAATTACCGAAATGTTTTTTATATTGTGTTTTAATATGTCCAAACGTTAAATTAAAGGACGAAAATCTTGTACAATTTCAATTTTATCATCCAACTTCTGTATTATCACCATTTTTTTATGAGGATGGCTTCTAACCGTTGCAATTGATGTAACATTACGAGGCCGTCGACCCAAAATATCCATCGTTGTATTTCCGGTTATTCAAATTTTTCGCAAATGTTCAAGCCTTGAACTTTAATATATAGGAAACAGTTGTTTAGCACTGTAGGAAAATTATTATCATTATTTTTTTTTAAAAGATAGTCAATGTAAGTTTATCAGCTATAACTTATATCAAGGTGATCCCCCTCGGCTCTTTTAGAAGTTTTAGATCCCAAGTAAAACAAAAACTTTATCGACCATTATTTAGAAACCCCTTTTGATTGCTCCCAATAGCAGCAGCGATATTAACACAACCAATGTTCTGAAAACAAAATTAAAGAAACAGAGAATTTGAGAAAATGGTTAATTTATAACATACTAACAAAATCCAAACCATTTTATTTTACAGTCTTCCTCCTAACATCGGAGCCCAAATGCAATTTCAGGGCCACCAACCTGCTCTAAATTGCAGCCTTCTGTGCTTGAAACGAGTTGCAGATTCTCTTAGTATTCCTCCAGGGTTGCGACTTGATCACAGAGCCATCATTACCCTAGAAGTAAAATCGTTGCAGGAAACTTTTCATCTATCATGCTGGCAGCCTTCACTGATGAGGTGCTGTGAGGGAAGATTAGTGAAAGTGTCATTGACGATTGATAGAGCTTTGATAAACTCCAGGGCCATGCGCCTCCCCTGGACAAAACTCTTCCCTATCTTCCCCACAGACCAGGCTGGCTGTTTCCATATGGGCATTGATCACTGATGAGAGTTGACATTCGTGTGATGATTGCTTTGTGTTATACCTCTCTAGAATAAAGTTGGTACCTGATTTAAAATTCTCCAGCTCAGAATGTTGCAACCTGGATTGCTGTTTTAGATTCAGAATTTTGAGTCCTGGATTGTTGTCTAGTTGGTGGCGCACCTACTCACCAACAACCCTACCCCCTTTAAATAACAAATACAGTTGGCCAAATAAAAATTAAACAGAAAATTTGGGAATGATTAATTTATATAACATACCAAACAAAATTCGATCCATTTTATTTTACAGTCTTCTCCCTAATATCAGAGCCCCTGTTCTGAATTGCAACCTCCTGTGCTTGAAACGAGTTGCAGATTCTCGTTGTTTTGATGGATCTGGATGTTTACATAGCACTACAATTCATCTGCAGAGTTGTACTTGGTCACATATTCATCTTTACCATAGAGGTAAAATCGTTGCAGGTGACTTTTTGTCTAACATGACAGCAGTTTTCTCTGGTCTGGATGCTGTGAGAAAAGATTAATGAAAAGTGTCATGGGCGATTGATGCAGCTTTGATGCATTCCAGGACCATGTTGCCCCCCACTGGAATTCAATTGCATCATTGTATCATCAGGGGAATCTTGGTCAGATTAGCCTTTATACACAAGGAAGGTGTGTGAATGACTATATGGTGTTCAAGGTAGCATGCATGCTTCAACATCTGCCAATTTCCGATAATCAAACATTGCATGTCGAAATGTTTCTTCTGTGACAGTCATGCTGACTTGACATCTTGTAATTAATTATAAAATTAATATTAATAACAATTACGCAAAATAAAATACCAATCATTTACCATCTTGATAAGGATCTTATAAGATATGTTCCGCGTTTCATTTCCAATTAAAATATTTATAAACTAAAATAAAAATATCAATACAAGTAAAAAATAGTGCCTCCGGTTAGTTATTAACACAACTTCTTTAGGTGACTCACGTTTTGTCATGTAAAAAATAAATTGTTTTTCCAAAAAAAAATCAATTCGCGTCAACAAAAAAAAATGGGGTAAATAATAAGTGTACGCGCTTGTTGATCAAATAATTTTTTTTAAAAATTTAAAAATGCCTAAAGAAAATAAAAAAAGAAAAACCGAAAAAACATTAGGGTAGATTTCTGGGTAGTGTTTATCATAAGAACGATGGTGGTTATCGCCACTTGTTGTCACTCTAATTATAGTAAAAGTAAATCATTTATACGTATCGAACCGATAATTATTACTATCAAAATATCAGTCATCATTGTCATTATGAAGATTTGGACATTAAACGACATTGATATCGGAGCCAAATTGGGCAAAGGGGGATGCGATATCTTGCAAAAGAGCACACCTTTTTGCAATAAAAGTTACTCCAAAGTTAAAAAGTGATCAAGTCAAATAAAAAAAAGAAATCGAAATTCAAAACAATCTAAAGTATATAGATATATATGTTGGTATATACATATTTGTTGGTATTTTTGCAGAAATATGTTAACTACATATTACAGTGAACCCTCTATAAGTGCACCTCCCTCGGGAACATAGTGCTATTTCTTGTGAGCGTGCATTTATGGAGGGTGTGCATTTATGGAGGGTGATTTTATAAGCTCTCTATAAGGTTGGGGATGAAATGGGACGTGCATTTATGGAGGGTATACATAGTGCGTGCATTTAGAGAGGGTGCACTTAGGGAGGGTTCACTGTATTCATTTATACGGATATTTTCAGAGCATGGAAGATTTTTGAATATGCCGCTGGTGGTGACTTATACACAGTAAATCTTGGTTTGGACAATTAGGGAAATTTTTCCAAAAATCTATTAAATTGATATCCACTATATCAAGAAGGTTTTTATGGACCTGTTCTTTGAGCTTTATCCGTAAAACCGAAATTTTTAATTAGTATCCACTAAATCGAGATTCACAGTGTATAAATATTTAAAAAAATGCAAAATATTTACCAAACGACTAAAGATGGCTCCTCAATTAATTGCAATCGCGGTTCCCATCTTTACAAATGTCACACGTCTAAAGTTTGTAATTAATTGTGAATGGAGGATTTTTTTTTGATAATGATGTTGATTCAATCAATATACTTATATTTATTGTAAATTAATAATATATTGCACAGGCAGCAATTGCTTTAGATTATCTTCATTCTAGAAATATAATTCATAACCTCAAAATATCTTATTGGGAGTAAACAATGTTCTCAAAATGGCAGACTTTGGTTTCTCGGTTGATACTATGGAAAGGTAAAAGAATTTGATTATTATGATATAATATTACTGTATTTATTATACAACATCTAATCATCTTATTATTATACACAATATCCAATAAAGACGTAAAACTGTCTGTGGTATGTTAAATTACCTTCCACTAGAGATGGTAGATCGTAGAGCCTACAATCCCAAAGTTGATTTATGAAATCTTGGCATCTTGTTACCAAATGTTAGCTGGGACCATCCCTTTTTCAGGGTCCACAACCCAAGATATATACAGATCTTGATTGAAAATAAAAAAAGTAATTTAAAGATTAAGGAAATATTTTCTTCTATATAAGTTGAAATCCATTCCAACTATCAAAGAGGATGATAGTTATGTTCCTTTAGATGTAAGTTAATATTCTGGCTTTTGATATCTTATTGATGATAGGAGGTATAACTTTAATTTTAAGTTTTATAATTGCTATGATTAAAAGAATTAAAAGAAAAAAATAAATCAATATTTGCAATAATAAGATTATTTTCCTTTGAAGGATTTTTGCTTTTTGTTTTAAATGTTTATGATTTTTCTTTCTTCATGGTAAATTTCATAAGTAATACTTTTCTTTTCTTAGATAGGTTTCAAGCGTCTGAGTATCGTTTATTTTGAAAAATGTAAGGAGCAACTTTTCACCTTGTTCTTTCTTTAAAATACTTCTAATTGTGCTATAATTCTTGGGTTCCATAGTATATCTGATGTAAATGAATTTCATTATTAACTATTATATAGATAACAAATGGGTATTATATTGTAAAAACTGTTAATATTAATATTATTTATTAATAACGCATGGTGTTACCCGAAAACAATACCTTCTCCATATTTCGTTATTCAATAATTTCTTTGTAATTTTTTTACAATGACGTCATACTGGTGGAGAGAAATTGTACCAGTACTATATAGAATAATATATTTTCTTTGACATCTCTAGTTGATGGTCACATACAATAGAGTTTTTCCGGTCCTGTTAAAAGAGCTCTTTTTGCAACTTAATTTAAAGGTGGCTTTAATAGTTACCTTTTACTCAACCTTTTTTTTAAAGAGCAACTATCAATATTCAACATTGATTGATCATTTGTTCTCGAGTTTTTAATTATCATTTTATATAATTACAAAAAAAAAGTTGAACTGACTACCACGCTCTGAAGACCATGTGTGATGCAATGGAAAATTCAGAGCAAGGAGGAAACGGGCCCTGAATGCTCGATTTGCATCAATCTGGCTTTTTAAAAGAACATCTTATGTTCACGGGATTTTTGTGGGGTATTCCTAATGAGACGCTTGACTTATTAATAATAAATATTCAATATTAAAAAAGTTTAGAACTTTAGGAATCTAATACATAAATATAAAAATTTTCATTTTGTAGGTTTTTTGCGTTCGACTTATCAAATCTATTTTTAATATTAATATTAATATTATAAAGTTTTTATTGTTGAAATAAAAAAATAAAAAATAAAAAATAAAAATAATACAAGGAAAAAAAAATATTGAAAGTTTTTACTATTAAAAAATTACGATATTTATATTTATTAATTGATTAATAATATTAAAAAAATTAACTATAAAATTTTTAAAATAATAAAAAAAAAAAAAATAATAAATAAACGCTATAATTTTAATTATTATAATAGTTTTTTTTTCTAATTCTATTAAACAAATTCTAATTAATCGACTTCTTCGATAGTAGGCCCTGAATCATCACCACCGGAGCTAGCACCTGGGAAACCACCGGGAGCAGCACCGGGTGGGAATCCAGCAGCACCTGGAGCACCACCACCTGCACCATAAAGTTTCATCATTATTGGATTAGCAATCTCTTCGAGTGATTTTTGTTTATGTTCGTATTCTTCTTTTTCTGCTTCTTGATTGCTATCAAGCCATGAGGTTGTTTCGTTAATGGCTCCTTCGAGTTTCGTTTTATCAGCTGGTTCAAGCTTGCCTGAAATTTTTTCATCCTAAATAATAATTAATTTTTTATCATGTTAAAAAATTATTTCATCATCACTCGGAAATTGCGAATCAGTTAATAAATTGTTTGTAATATTTACCTGAAGTGTGTTACGTAAATTGTATGCGTAACTTTCCAAACCATTACGTGCTGTTATTCTTTCCGCTATCTTTTCATCTTCTGCGCGGTATTTCTCAGCATCGTTAACTAAAAAATTAATTAATCAATTAATAAAATTAAGTATACCAATATATGCTATTTAAAATCAAAATCAAAATCAAAATTGATTGCATACCCATTCGTTCAATTTCTTCTTTTGATAATCTTCCTTTATCATTAGTGATTGTGATTTTATTTGATCTACCAGTAGTCTTATCGACAGCTGATACCTATTTTATTTGATAAATAAATATAAAGATCAATGTTAAAAATACAATCCCGATTATGGCCCAAAGTTTTTAAGAGTTTTAATTGAAATGAATACATACGTTAAGAATACCATTAGCATCAATATCAAAAGTGACTTCAATTTGAGGCACACCACGTGGAGCTGGTGGGATACCAGTTAATTCGAATTTACCCAGTAAGTTATTGTCTTTGGTACGTGTACGTTCACCTTCATATACTTGGATAAGTACACCGGGTTGATTGTCAGAATAGGTGGAAAAGATTTCCGATTTTTTGGTTGGAATTGTGGTATTACGTTTGATAAGTGGGGTCATCACGCCACCAGCTGTCTCGATACCAAGTGAGAGTGGTGCGATATCAAGTAAAAGAAGATCTTGAGTTTTTTCTGATGTGTCACCAGTTAAAATGGCAGCTTGTACTGCTGCACCATATGCAACAGCTTCGTCGGGATTTATTGATTTGTTTGGTTCTTTGCCATTGAAAAAGTCTGATACCATTTTTTGGATTTTTGGAATACGGGTAGATCCACCAACCAACACAATTTCATGTACTTGGGCTTTATCTATCTTTGAATCACGGAGCACCTTCTCAACCGGTTCCATGGTGGAGCGGAACAAATCTTGATTCAATTCTTCAAATCTGGCACGAGTTATTGATGTGTAAAAGTCTATACCTTCAAACAGCGAATCGATTTCAATGGATGTTTGTGCTGATGCTGAAAGTGTACGTTTGGCACGTTCACAAGCTGTTCTAAGACGACGAAGAGCTCTGGCATTTGTGGTAAGATCTTTTTTGAATTTACGTTTGAATTCCTGTACAAAATGATTTACAAGTCGATTATCAAAATCTTCACCACCAAGATGGGTGTCACCAGCAGTGGCCTTTACTTCGAAAATGCCATCTTCGATTGTCAACAATGAAACGTCGAAAGTACCACCACCCAAGTCAAAAATCAACACGTTACGTTCTCCGACTGTTTTCTTGTCCAAACCATATGCAATTGCAGCAGCTGTTGGCTCGTTGATGATACGAAGCACATTCAATCCAGCAATCATACCGGCATCCTTTGTTGCTTGACGTTGAGAATCGTTGAAATAGGCGGGTACTGTAACGACTGCATTTGTTACTTTTGTACCAAGAAAAGCTTCGGCGGTTTCCCTCATTTTTGTTAATACCATCGACGAAATTTCTTCTGGAGTAAATTGTTTAGTTTCACCTTTATATTCAATCTGAATATATGGTTTGGTACTTTTATCAATAACTTTGAATGGCCAATGCTATATATAATAATAATTAGAAGAAGAGGGAAAAGAAGTAGTGAATTAATATAAAATCGAAAAACCAAGTCAGATGATAAATAATAATCGATAAAATAATATACCTTCATATCAGATTGAACTTCTGGTTCATTAAAGCGGCGACCAATAAGACGTTTAGCGTCAAAAACAGTATTAAATGGATTCATAGCAACTTGATTTTTTGCAGCGTCACCAATTAAACGTTCGGTATCGGTAAATGCTACATATGAAGGTGTTGTGCGGTTACCCTGGTCATTTGCAATAATTTCAACTCTGTCGTTTTGCCATACACCAACACAAGAATATGTAGTTCCCAAATCAATACCAACTATATATAGTATTATTAATTTACATTAGTTATTAACTTGAAATAAATATACATGGTAAGAAAAAAAAAATTTAAATGCGACAATTACCTGCTTTTCCTTCTACTTTTTCTGATTTTCCTTCAGTCATTTTTATAATCTTTTATTTTTGTTTAAAAAATAAAGGTGCGTTTTTTTAAAAAAATATTTATATATTTACAAAGGAAAAAAAATAAAAAAAATTTATTTCGCTTAATTAAAAAAATTTTTTTTAATCAAGATTTAATATTTTTAATGTTTTTTTAATATTTATATATAATCGAAAAAATTTTTTTTTTGGAACAAATGGTTCACATTTCGCTGTATATAAACTTTTCGTCAATCTTTCCAGCAAGTTCCATATTGATGACATTTTATTATGGAAAGTTCTGGAGCCAACTAGTTAAAATTCATTACCATTTTCCGTTTTTTTTCATATGTTGTGTGTATCAACTAAAAGTATATATATGACAACGTGTAACATTTTCAACAATATAGTTTCTAAAAGCGGTCTTTTTTATTCGGCTGATGAAAGGATTAAAAAATAAACTAAATTTAATCTCCCCCTTATTATTCAAAGATGATTTAATGTCAATTTTTAATTATGATACATGATTACGTTTGTCTGCTTAATAATTTCATGGAAATTGTATCTTGCTAACGGAGTTTTTTAGGTTGGTGATTTTTTAAATCTCCCCAAATTTATATTTAAATCTTCAAAAACCACCTTATCAATGGGTCGTGATTTCTTGGAGTCTTCTGGTATTTCTATTTCTAACCAACTTCCGATTGCCTCGGGTTGGTTGCTTTTACGGATAATTCTTGTGATATCAATTATTATTGGTGTTTTTGGCATCAATTTTCAATCATATTTAGCGTTTAGCGTTTGACTTCAATTTATTGAAATACTAAATGAAGAAATCTACCATGTGATGATATATATATATATATCTAGCTATTATTGTATTCAAAGCTTGTGTGTGAACCGGTTCGAACCGGTTCGTACCATTAAAAATTCTTGAATCGAATATTCGATGTGGTGTTCACATTTCCAACATTCTAATTATTATTATTATTATACTTTCGAACGTCCGTAATACTTTTTAAATGTCCATGTTAATATTAATATTGTTATTATCAATTATAAATTTATTATTTATT